CATGTATATCTCACGATCTATCAATGCATGGAGATAAGCGGTTTTAACGTCCATTTGGTGCAAGATAAGGTTTTCTTGTGCTGCTTTCTGCATCAAAACTCTAATACTGGTCAGGCTTGCAGTAGGGGAGAAAGTCTCTTCATAATCAATACCCCTCTTCTGACTAAACCCTTTTGCCACATATCTAGCTTTGAACTTGTCAGTTCCATCTGCATTCTTTTTCACTGCATAAACCCACTTCCCCCCCACTGCTTGTTTGCCCTCAGGAAGTGTTGTTAAAGTGAATGTATCATTTTCTCTAAGAGATAACATTTCTTCATCCATTGCTTTTTTCCATTCTTTTGAATATTGAGAATGTACAGCTTGTTCAAATGTTAAAGGTACATCACATAGAAGCCTGTAGCAATAATCAATATTTGTTAACACTAGGTCGTCGAGTTCTTTTTCTGTTACATATTCATTCAGGTAATTTGGCCTTTTTCTTAGCCTAGAAGGGTAACGCTTTGTATCATGATCTGCATCACAAATGGCATCATCTTTATTTTCCGCCTCTAAAAGAGTGGCTGGACTCTTTTCAAGTATTTCTTCCTCCTCTGTGTATTCCTCCTGTTTTGGCTCTTTATACTCATCTGTTTGCTTTGTGATCCTATTAGGTATGTCAAACTCATCCTCTAATATGTCAGTTTGTGTCTTTTGCTCCATCACATTTTTAGTTAAAAACTTCACTAGTCTATGTTTTAAGACTTTACCTTTGTGAGGAAAATAAATTAGGTAGGCTGGGCTGTTTTTGTCATATCCTACAAAAATTCCCTCCTCACATCTTGAGTCCAGTTTTCCTTTTTCTTGTTTGTAGGCAAAACAGGCTGAACCAAACTTCTGCATCCTGGATAAATTTGGTCTTTTCCCACGAATCATCTGATAAGGCGTTTGCCCTGTACGTCTATTAAAACACCTGTTTCTTATTTGGGCCGCTGTCTGAACTGCATATACCCACATTGTTTTAGACAAGTTGGTCTCTATCAGCATACATCTCGCCATGTCAAAAAGTGTACGCCAGTTTCGCTCTGCAGTGCCATTTTGGTGTGGCGAATAAGGGGCTGATGTCTCGTGTCTAATGCCATGTTTACTCAGTAATGTTTGGAAAAGCTTCCCAGTAAATTCTGTACCATTATCAGACCGTATACATTTTATCTTGCCGTAGGGCGCCATGTCTGCAAAGAATTTTTCTGTTGCCTGCACAGTATCATTTTTATGTTTTAGGAAATAGACAAAAACTGCACTTGAAAAGTCATCGGTAAATGACAACACATATCTGTAGCCCTCTCTGGACTGTGGATCTATTGGCCCAGCTAAATCTGTGTGCACCAGCTCTAATGCAGCTCTAGCTCTTTTATCTGGTTCCCTGTTCTTCCATTGGGCAAATTTACCTTGGATACACACTTCACATGGCTTTGTTGGTTTTTCATTATTACCTTTTATGCTCATTCCATCAACAACACCCTGTAAGTTTTGTATATCATTATAATTGCAATGCCCCAAAATCTCATGCCAGGTTTGCATGTCATAAGAACCTTTACACTGGTCATGGTGTTCATTACTCACAGTTTGTAGATAGTACAGTCTGTTGTGCTCTTTGATGGGGAAGTTTGTTCCATCTCTGTGTACCAAAGCATCTTGTCCTTGCTTGAAGATCACTGTTGCCCCATTGTTTGTGGCTGCTTTTACAGAAAAAATGTCTTGTGGATAAGAGGGGATGTACAGTGCCTGCTTAAGAATTGTCTTGTGGTGTCGCCCCCTGCTGTCCATCAGAGACACCTCTGCCTCTCCTCGTCTTTTCGCCACTCCATTGCATCTGGTGCCATCAGCCAATTCGATGCAATGTGTCTCGGGTTTGAAGTTGTCATCAAAATCTTTAAATCTGCCAAGATCTGTGATGATATGCGAGGTTGCTCCGGTATCCACCATCAGACCTTTGATTTTGGTTTCGTCACGCCTCCCAATCTCCTGGTCAGCATCAGTCAGCCGGAAAACATATTCTTTACCGTCCTCTTCTTCAGCAGCTGTCCACGCCACATCCTGTCTTTGCCTTCTCCTGCATTCATCCTCTCGGTGTGTGGAGTTTTCACAAATATTGCACCATTTTCTGCGGTGGCACATTTTAGCTATGTGTCCCCGTTGTCCACATCTGAAGCACACCTGGTCGACGCCGTCTGCTCTCCTCTCGCTCATCCGCACCTGTGCATGCTTTGGGCTTGATTGGACCCGTGCTTTCATGACGTTGTCCGCCGCAGCAGCCATGCGTATTCTCTCTGTGTCTTCATAACTCCTTAATTTGCATTTAAAGTCAGAAAAAGTCATTTTATCTTCACTTTGTGTGACATAAATGATGAATGGTTTGAATGACTCTGGCAGTCCTTTCAGAATCATAGCGATAAGCAGGCCATCACTCATAGTTTCACCTGCATTTCTTAATGCTGTTATAGCGGCCTCAGCTCTAAGAACATAAGTTGTCACATCTTCGCTGCCAACTTTTTGCAGTGAGGTAAGTTCTGTATATAGACTGATAATGCGAGGTTTACCCTTGCCCGCATAAAAGTCTCTCAAAATCCTCAGAGCCTTCCGTCCATCATCAGCAGCTTCACGCATTATCAGCGATAAACTTGTATCATCTAGGAATTGGATAAGCTCCGCATACGCCTCTGCGTTTTTCGTGTCTTCATCTTCTTCTTCTCCGTCTTCCTCTTCTTTCTTTAGAATTACGTCCTTTAATCCTTGTAACCGAAGGTGACCAAGAAACTTTGCCTCCCACAGCTCGTACTTCTCCGCATCTCCGTCAAAAACCAACCGTGACCACCGGTTACTCCCTTCTGCAGTTCTTCTATTCATGGTGCTGTGTGTTACGTCTTTCCTTGCCGGTGGTTCACCTGCGCTTCTGGTACTCTTCACTTGGGTCTCCGTGTGTAGCTGGGCCCATAACCTGTTAGCAGAAGTGGCTATACAGCAGCTAGACCCGGTATCACAAAGGATATATTTTGGCAGCAAAAGAAGGACTCCACACTCTGGTTGCGTTTGTGCTCTGAGAGAGGAGGGGCGGGGCATACCCGACCCACCTGAACTCGGCTTTTTATTAACCATACCACGTGACAAAACCAGTTCATACATCACTTCTATTTACAAATCTGTGAAATAGAAACATAAATCAGAGCATAAACCTCAACAGGATGAGTAACCATGTTTGTTTGGTTTTAAAGTGGGGAAACGTAAGTTAGTTTCTCAGGTAGCTCATCTGATGCTTTCCTTAGCTTGTTAGTAGGTTACAGACAGTGATAAGGTTGGCTACTTATTTTACTTTTAATTTCATTTGAATTAGCTTAAGCAGCGTTTATATTTTCTTTATAAATAAATTAATTTGCAAATTATGAGGGCAAGGCTTTTAAAGTTTAAATCTTCTGGCAAAGATAAAGTAAAGAAGATCCTGCAATTTATGGAAGTAAAGCAGAATAAAATCCAGCAAGATCAGTAATATGTCAATTAATTATCTGCCACATTCCCATGTAAATATCTGTCTTTGGAGGATGTGTTTTTTAGCACCCCTAGTTCTCTCATTTTTATTCCAAATACAATTTATAATTTGAATCACAGGGCTATTTTTATCTCTGTGGTTCAGTATTTTCTCAAGTAGCAACTTTAACTGCTATACTTTCCTGTCTTAAAAGGCAGAACTCTTCTAGTCTAAAAAAACCTCATTTGTTGAAATGGGGGGGCCTATTGTTTGAACCCCTTAGGGGCTTTAAAAAACAAAAATGTCTCTTTTTGCGCTTTATGAAACAAAGTAGCCTATATTTTGTGGATGTACAGCTACATTTCTCATGTAAGTTTGCGTAGTTTTAAAACAAACATTTAATTTTTCATATTGCACCAGTACAGTTAATGAGCAACCTGTACTTGTGTGATTGTTTGTTCTGTCTAAAATGTTTATTTTGGAATAAAGAGGTTAATATAAAAAAAAAATTTGTGTCCGATTCATCGATTAATCGAAAAAATAATCGGCCGATTCATCGATTTTCAAAATAATCGTTAGTTGCAGCCCTAGCTGGATCCCATCTAACCCAGAAGGAAAGAGTTCGACCTGCAGCTTCATCGCTGCTCATGAACATAAAACTACTTTATGACTTTTAATCATTTATTCGTTCAGTTACGGCGATGCTTTGATCGTATAACACAGATGAAGTCTGTGATGCATCCTGATCCTAACTTTACAGTAATATGTGGTTGAATCTCTAACTGCTGTTATAAAGAGGACATCTTTACCTTTAGACCATCGTTAGTTTGATTTGGTTTTAAAAAAAGCCCTGAAGTTGCAGGATCAAACCCATGAGCGCCGGTGGATTGGTCGAATTAAAGTCTGTAAATTTAATTCATCCCTTCTGTTTTCAAGTTTATTGTATAAAATGTGGTTAAAATCTCCATAAATCTGATCCCAGGTTGGTCATAGAAGCCCTTTAACAGACACCCCCCCCCCACTCTGCTCTCCAGCCTGCAGAGGCTTTCAGTGAGTGACCTTTCAGACAATCAGAGGGGCCCCCGGCTCTGCAAGCGAGCGGCGGACCCCGGGTCCTGATGCAGGCGCCTGTGGATTCCATTGATTCCCTGAAACAAAAGGGTCTGAACTGGTGGACGGTGCAGGGGGACGTTCTGGATCCACTGGGAATTTCACTAAAATCTGTAAACTGATGTGGAAGAATTGTGGCGCTTTGCTTCCATCTCAGCTCAGAATGAAGGAAACGAATCCTTCAGACGTTCAGGATGTTTCTAGAAGCTCTGCTGTTTGCAGGGAGGTGAAGACACTTTGGGCTCTTTTGTTTTCTGCATGTAAAGCGGCGACTGGAGCAGCAGATGAAATATTTAGTGCGGATGGGGGGGGAACCTTTCTGAGGATGGGGGAGGGTCTTCTGGTCGGACATGATGAAGTATAAACACACCTGTCTGTCTCCCTGCAGAAGCTGGCTGTTCGGAGCTGTCCCGTGGGGACCACCAAGCCGCTATCGCTCATCAAGCCCCCCAGCCAGAGCATCGCCATCTCCGTGGTGCCGGCCAAGGCTCCCGTTTCCATGGTGACGGCACACCTCAACGGCCAGAAGGCGGCGGGGCCGGAGCCGCTGCAGACATCCCCCATCAACCTCCAGGCGGCCGGCAGGGCGACGGCCGGCGCCGTCCCCTTCAGCGGCGGCCGGACAAGCGGAGAGCTGCTGCCTCCTGCCCAGGTAAGCCTCACCTGCAGAGTGGGCGGAGCCAATCCGCTCTATGAGGAAATAAAACCTTAGATGTTTAAAAGCTCGTACGTCGCGTCGCGCTGCAGAGGCGTCGTTCGGCGCCATGAACCCGGTTTAAATGCAGGAGAGGAGTTCTGCCTCCTGCTGCAGCGTTTCCTCTGCTCACGTTTCGTTTGCTTGGTAAAATGAAACTCATGCACTTTCCAAAATATTATGAATATTATAATAAATCCATATTTACTGCATAGTTTTTCCACTGAGGCCTTTAATGTGACAGAAAATGAGCAGACAGCAGCTCTCCTCTGCAGACGTCCTCTTCCTGTTTATTGGCATTCAGGCTGCAGCTTCTCCACTTCCTGTACTTTATATTCAGCACCATCCCTCCACCGGTAGGGCCTCTACAGAGAGGAGGGCCCGGCCTCGGGGCCCCCAGGCTCCAGCTTTATCCCTCATCTGCCCATCCTTCTCCTCACTGAGCCCATAAAGGGGGAAATGACACAATTTCCATTTAAATTATTCATATTTCCTCTGTGAAGGTGAACAACAGTAGTTCAGGGTTGAGGTGCATCAATCACATATTATCAGGTTCTACTTTATAACTCTGCACATTTATTTAAGTGATCTGTCCTTTTAATGATATTAAATCAAAACATATGTCTGTTTCTGCTAAATAAACCCCCCTTTTGTTCTTTTTTTCTATCATCCAATCATTTGCAACATTCTGAATATTCAGAAAAGTCTACATAGTTTTTCACTGTCCTAATTCAAAAGGTAAAACTCTTACATGCAGGGTTCCCGCGGGTCCTTGAAAAGTCTTAAAAGGCATTGAATTCTTCAAAATAAAACTAAGGCCTTAATTGGTATTAAAATGTCTTAAATCAGTCTTTCGTAGGTCTTATTTTTTAAAACAACATAAATAGGATTATTTTTATTACGATTTATTTTTGTAATCTAAATAAAACATTAAAATTGACCTTTTTCCATTATTGGTTCCGTCCCGATAGCGGAACCAATAAAGCGTTGTTGCGGCCGGGACATTTGGGAGATGCACCATTAACTTTTTATCTGGAAAATATGAGCAAGTATAAATGTAACCAAAATAGTTTCCTCCATGGCTAAAACCAGGGAACATCCATGAGGCTCAGTGGATTTAGTGCTAGAAGTCATTCAAGCTCAGAACGATGGGAATTAAGGCAGTGGAGTCGCACATGCGAAGCACGAAACACAAAGCGTCAAAATGGAGTTAGAGAGAAACAGGCGGTATTTCTCAGTTTAGTTCCACCCTTGTCTCTGCAACGCCTCCACTTATCACCAAATCAAACATACTAAGAAAACCATACAAAGAAAAATAGCTGCTAAAAGACTTAGCACTGGTTATGTTGGGGCTTTAAAACTGATTTGTTTCGTTCCCTGCTAAAACAAAGTTTGTGAATTCAGTTAAATAATTGTTCAAATATATCTGTCATTTGTGTGTTTTTAGCTTTCTTCCTGTATGGGAAGCTTTTCAACATTTGAAACATTAGTGCAGTGGTTTATGTTACAATAAACCTTTGGGTTAAGTTAATGCAAGCAGGTTTTTCTTGTGTTTCTTGTGAATTTGGTCTTAAATTTTTATTTCGAGTGGCATTAAAAAGTCTTTAAAAGTCTTGAATTTAACTCGCCTTATGCTGTAGGAACCCTTACATTACATTTATTATTACAAACAGGAAAGCTTTTACTCTTGCTGCTACTTTAGAAAAGGCTTTTCTTACCAATCCTCTAAAGGTTTAAATGATCCCTTCGTCACATAGAAGAGTCTTTTTTTTCCTTCCACTCAATTTTCCAAAAGGATCCTGCACTCTATGAGCAGCCAGGTTTGAGTTTTCATGACTCTGGCTTTTAGAGGAGCATAATTATCTTATTTATTAATAACTGAGTCTATTATTCTGGCGTCATTCTGCTGCTCCTATAAACCAGTCAGAGTGAGCGCTCTTCATTTGAGATGTTTTATTTTATCCTAGAGGCTGATGAGAGGCTGTTTGGCTCAGAACCTGCCTGCTGAGACAGGGATGAGTCTTAGTGAGAGCAAACATGTCTGCATTGTTGCAGGGAGGTGTGATGTTCTGCAGAACTTCGCTGGAGTTTGGATGATGCAGTAAATATTTTATCTAATTTGACATTTTTCAACTGGGGCAGCAGAGATGTGTGAAGTTACCAAGAGCGCCTCCTGCTGACCTTATTACACATTATAGTTATAAAAATAATAGCCTCAGAGGTTCTTTCTGAAATGTTATTTTTTTCCATCCTTTCTTCTTCAGGCATCAAATATAAAACTGTTTAGTTTCAAAGATCTCCAACCTTTAGTTCTGCTCCCTCAGCTGCAGAAAAAAGGCTGAAATCTAAACAAACCTGTGAGAAATGTCGTGTTAATCAAAGCAGATCTGAGTTCGTCCCCTGATGGAGGTCGGCTGAATCTGTGGAGTCCTGAGGAGGCTGCAGATAATTACGGCTTTCCTGCGCTGAGCTGATTGGACGGTGAAGCAGAGGCTTGGAGGAGGTGAAACCTGTTTGAACATCTGCAGCTTCAACAACCGGCCTTTTCTTCCAAAGACGTCTTCATCCTCTGTAAGCAGCACCCAAGGTCATCCTCTCCGTCTGCCTCGGAGTCTCGTTAAAGCCGGAGGAAGAGCTGCGGCGGGATGAGCGAGCGTTTTATCTGGAGCTGCAGAGTCGCCTCAGAACAAACACAGCTGCGGGTTTCTCCTCGTACTTCAGTCGCTTTATTTAGCTTCAGAGTTCAGGCAGAATCAAACCTCAGAGCTCAGAGACGGTCTGGCTTTAAGCTCCGCTTCTGTTCACAGAAAATATTTAAAGTCTTTTATGGCTCCGAGTCTCAGAATCAGAGGATCAGATTTCTGTTCCAGAGAGGGAGCGAGGCTTCACTTTGCAGATGTTCCAGGTTCAAACGGGTCATTTAGACGAGCGTCGCTGTTAGACATGAAGTTCAGCTTCTGTCCTTGCTTTGAATTTTGACTTTTTAAACTGAAAAAAAAAAAAAGATACGATTTTCTTGCAGACTTTTATTTACATTTGAAAACTGTTTCACAAATCCAACATGACTGCCATCAGGCCTTTATTCTCACATTAGTTTGTAGAACTTATTGATGCTGCTGCATCAGGGACATTAAAGCAAACCTTTGCTGATTCCAACATGACTGAAGGAAACAAGTATTTAAAATTCCCGTCATGGTGTCTGTTAACCGGGATTTCTGTTTGTATTTTAGTTGGTGCTTTTGGGGGTTCTTATGATCCGTTTGTTATGCTTGTAAAAATGTTTTGCTCAGTTTTGGTCCTTTACTTAAAGGAGAAGTCCGGTCAGCCAGGAATAATTAATGGATCATTATTTATACCTAAAACTAATACATTTGCGGTTATTTAATGAATTTACCGTTGGTCAGTAAAAAAATCGTCACGAGTCTGGGAGCGGCCATTTTTGCCCAAATGTAGTAGCCCCTCCCTCCTGCCATCTTCCAGCAGTGACGTCACGGTGCGGTAAGCCTAGCGCCATTCTCCCCGCTTTCCAAGCTAAATCAATGGGAACTACTAGACACATCTGCAATCAACAACAATTATTGAAGATTTCCAGAGGACTTCACCATTGAAATTCACCAGAGCTATAGTGAAACTGACAATGCCCACGTGCATGGCAGCTGGATGCTGCAATACATCGGGTAAAAGTGAGAATCAATGTTTTAGGGACGTTGAACGAGCTTCAGGCATCAGGAGTCACTTTTCCAGATGTTCAGCTGATTTACAGATTCAAAGCAAAGCTTTCACTGAGGGGAAAAAACTGATCCTCATCCCTGATGAAGAAGCCGTTTCCTTGGTAACCGCCTTGCCCTTTCGCTGCTCTGGGGTCAGCAAACTCTGCCAACTCTCTGGGTCGCCCGCTGAACCCTGACCTTCAGAGCATGCGGTCGCCATTGATCGAAGGCGTCTGTCAAACATCAGGCTGGTCTTCATCTTGATCATCTGTGCAGCTGATAAAGCAGGGATAAACTGAGGGGGGCGCCATCTGCTGGCTGCTGCTGGAACAATGACTATTCCTGGGAACATTTCCATTTAAAAAATAACGTGACACAAACCGAAGGAAACGTTTTGGGGTCGACATGCATGAGAGCTGAAACGCCTCTTTGGAGCTGATTTCTGCAAAACCAGGCTGCTGAGTTCTGCTTCTGCCGAGAGACGATTGTCTCAAAAGAAAGCTGTCATCTCTGCTCTGTGGCTTCACCCTGATTGCTGCGTGTGCACATCCTCCTCTTCATCCTACTGTGATGACAGGAGCAGAGACGACAAACTCCTCCTCCTCCTCTAATCCTCCTCCTGCCTTCACCTTGGCCAGCCTGCAGCCGACTCCCTCTGTGTTTTCTCTAAAATCTGTTCCTGTTATTGATTTGAAGCTTCCACTACCGGCGCTGTCCTTGGTTCTGACCGTAGTAATCATTTCATTCATAAGGAAAGATCAGAGCTTCTTTCATAATCTCCTTTTTCAATGTAAACATGCATCAAAAATCTGGGATTAAAAAAAATCTTTCAATCCGTATATTCACCGTCCATTAATGATTTAAACATCTCTCCATCTTTGGATCTTTGTGAATTTATTTATACTTTAAAACCTGAAAAAGGCGTTTGGACCGTGGTGTCTGCTCTTTGGCGTGCTGCTCGTGAGCTCTAACCTTTATCTGAACTTTTATGCTTTGGGTTTGTAATCCAGGTAGATTAGCTTTACTCTGAGTTTAATCCAGGAAAATAATTATTAATGATCGTGTATCGATTCGCATTTTTTTAATAGCATGTTGGTTTTCGCTAATGAAAAGGAAAGAAACAGGACAGGATGAGTCGTAGTAATACGATGCATGACCCGGATTGGAAAGAGAGGATTATTTTATGAGATCTCAGCAACAATTTAACTGGAACAATAATTTGAGAGGCTAAAGAATGTTTACTTTTAGGTCAGGCAACGATTGAAAGGTTTTCTTTTTTAGCTATATTGGTCTTCATCAGGTTTTAAATAATCAGTTTTTACAGCAGCCAATCAGAGACGCCACGTCTGACAAAGATCTGTCATAGTTTGGTTTAAGGCCCATAGAAGTAAAAACAATAAATAGTTTAATTTAAAGTTTGAGAAATGGAAGAATTTATCGACACACTCAGCAAATCACTGAGAGGAAGAAGAGGAGGAGGAGGAAACCCCCCCAAAGGAGAAGGTGTTGGGTTTGGAGAAAACAGGCAGCAATTACAGAAATGAAAGGCTTGAAACTGCAAGAATCCTCAGCTCTGCAGTTACCATGGTAACCGGCCCAGGCCGCCTCCTCCCTCCTCATCCTCCGGCGAGCCGCTTTGCAGCACAATACGACAAAACGAAAGGATTTTCACTGAAGAAGAAAAGAAGGGGAGGAGGGAGGGGAGAAACTTTCAGCCTCTTTTCATTCTGAGCTGCTGAAAAGATGGCCGCCTCTACTGGGAGAACCCGGTCTAACTGGTTACATACTGGTTTTAGACCGCTTGGCATTACTTTCGAGGTTACTGGTTAATCTCGACTGGTTTTAGTTGCGTTTATTAAATCAATATGAAAAGTGTTTGGTAGATTTGATCTGGTCTGTAGCTCTCCTCTGGTGTTGCTCGGACTGGTTTTAGACCAGTCTGGTGTTTTATTTAAACTGATTTTTGGACTTAATTTGGCTTTTAGATGGTAGTTTTTTATATTTATTCGATTGTAGCTCTGCCCAATTTCTCTTTAGATAATTAATTTCTGGTTCTGGAATCACGTAGAAACTTCATTGTTCTTTGAATTATCTGTGAACTAAACAAGAACGACACGAGACCAAATGAACCGGGTCTCAGGAAGCTGTTTGTCAAACTATCAGAGTAAAGTTTATATAAATCTCATTTTCTATTTTGAACTTTGATCCCTGACACAGAAAATCAAATTATCAGGAGATTGTTCAGCAATAATGAACAGCAAGGACTCTGCGGGGTGAGGGAGGGGCCCCCTTGTGGTCGATGATGGTGAAGTTTTTCTTGTTTTAGGTTGTTTACATTTTGTCTTCTTATTTAACTACAGAAAAGGTCAAAAAGTTTTAGATTTCAGACGCATTTAAACTGGTTCCAGTTTGGTTTTATGGCTCATTTTCAGATTTATTTATATATTTAGTTTTCATTGTGAAGCACATCTTTTTTTTTTTTTTTTTGAAGCTTTACAGTTTTTGGATCTAGAATCAAGATCTCACATTTTGACCTTTTTGTTATTTTTTTTTTCTTCTGCTGCAGGATTATGTTCAAAACATTTCATGTAAAATAATTTATTTTTAGATTTCACATCATTTTTGGCCAAAACAGGGTTTCCATGGGTCATTAAAAATCATTAAGTCATTAAATTGATATTTTTTTATTTAAGGCCTTAATTGGCATTAAAATTCATTAAATGTGTTTATTGTGGCATTTAAAATACTTTCTTAAAAAATTTTTATAAAAACAATTTCGTCGGACGATATATATTTACGTGGAACTGCTTCTGGTTGATCGCAAAGACGTACGTTCGGAGAAAAAGCTAGAGAATGGGGAAGGATGCCAGTTTGAACTAAAGTGGTTTATAAACGAGGAATTCGCGGCGTGGCTGCAGCCTGTCGGCGGGTACCTGTTGGTGGCATTAAAATGATTTCTAATTGCATTAAAAAGTATTAAATTAGAGTCATTCCTGTATAAACCCTGCAGAAAAACAAAAAGTAAAACATGATGTTGACTGAGGAACGTCTGCTGTGTTTCAGATGCTGGGAACTCTCACTGCTCTGCCCATCAAGGTGCCTCAAGTCAGCTCACTGCACCGGCTGGCAGGACAAGCAGCCACAGTGCTACCTCAGGTAATCATCAGGTGTCGAGTAATGAAGTACATATACAGGTGCTGGTCATAAAATTAGAATATCATGAAAAAGTAGATTGATTTCAGTAATTCCATTTAAAAAGTGAAACTTGTATATTATATTCATACATTACATACAAACTCATATATTTCAGATGTTTACTTTGTTTAATTTTGATGATTACAAATGACAACAAATGAAAATCTCAAATTCATCATATCAGAAAATTAGAATATTACTGAAGACCAATAAAAACAAAGGATTTATAGAAATGTTGGCCAACTGAAAAGTATGAACATGAAAAGTATGAGCATGTACAGCACTCAGTATTTAGTTGGGCCTCCTTTGGCCTGTATTACTGCAGCAATGCGGCGTGGCATGGAGTCGATCAGTCTGTGGCACTGCTCAGGTGTTATGATAGCCCAGGTTGCTCTAATAGTGGCTTTTAGCTCTTCTGAATTGTTGGGTCTGGTGTATTGCATCTTCTTCTTCACAATACCCCATAGATTTTCTATGGGGTTAAGGTCAGGAGAGTTTGCTGGCCAATTAAGAACAGGGATACCATGGTCCTTCAACCAGGTACTGGTAGCTTTGGCACTGTGTGCAGGTGCCAAGTCCTGTTGGAAAATGAAATCTGCATCTCCAAAAAGTTGGTCAGCTGCAGGAAGCATGAAGTGCTCTAAAACTTCCTGGTATGTGGCTGCGTTGACCCTGGACCTCAGAAAACACAATGGACCAACACCAGCAGATGACATGGCACCCCAAACCATCACTGACTGTGGAAACTTTACACTGGACTTCAAGCAACGTGGATGAAGTGCCTCTCTTCTTTTCCTCCAGACTCTGGGACCTTGATTTCCAAAGGAAATGCAAAATTTACTTTCATCAGAGAACATGACTTTGGACCACTCACCAGCAGTCCAGTCCTGTTTCTCTTTAGCCCAGGCAAGACGCTTCTGACGCTGTCTGTGGTTCAAGAGTGGCTTGACACAAGGAATGCGACAGCAGAAACCCATGTCTTTCATACGTCTGTGTGTGGTGGTTCTTGAAGCACTCACTCCAGCTGCAGTCCACTCTTTGTGAATCTCCCCCACATTTTTGAATGGGTTTTGTTTCACAATCCTCTCCAGGGTGCGGTTATCTCTCTTGCTTGTACACTTTTTTCGACCACATCTTTTCCTTCCCTTCGCCTCTCTATTAATGTGCTTGGACACTGAGCTCTGTGAACAGCCAGCCTCTTTAGCGATGACCTTTTGTGTCTTGCCCTCCTTGTGCAAGGTGTCGATGGTCGTCTTTTGGACAACTGTCAAGTCAGCAGTCTTCCCCATGATTGTGTAGCCTATAGAACTAGACTGAAAGACCATTTAAAGGCTTTTGCAGGTGGTTTGAGTTAATTAGCTGATTAGAGTGTGGCACCAGGGGCCATCAATTTTGAACCTTTTCACAATATTCTAATTTTCTGATATGATGAATTTGAGATTTTCATTTGTTGTCATTTGTAATCATCAAAATTAAACAAAATAAACATCTGAAATATATGAGTTTGTATGTAATGTATGAATATAATATACAAGTTTCACTTTTTAAATGGAATTACTGAAATCAATCTACTTTTTCATGATATTCTAATTTTATGACCAGCACCTGTACTTCATTACTGTACTTAAGTACACTTTATAGGTATCTATACTTTACTAAATTACTTATTTTTCTTCCTACTTCATTACATTTTCACACCAGTATCTGTTCTTTCTATTCCTTACATTTTTAAATCAAACGTTCCTCGTTCCTCTTGGCTTCGGTTTAATGTTTCTAAATCTTTATTTCCCGTCATGTGCTCCATCCAATGCAGATCATTGGCTCCGCCCACATCTAGTGAAAGCTAGTGTGATTGGATGAGTCATAGAACGCAAACACTCATTGGTTAGCTAAAGGAAATCATCAGAAGCAAGCAGGTGTTCTTCAAACTGCTAACGTGAATTGTCTATGCCATGCTACAATGTGGGATTCAGAAAAAGATGTTGAAATGTCTGAAAGGTCGGACACAGGCGAGAGCGTATCGGGAGACGGAGACCAACCAGACCTCCCTCATCCTTGGCCCTATCTCAGAGGATTATTAGAAATTGAGCTTTCAGTTCATATAGCGGCATCTGGCTGGTTTTATTAAAGGTTACTTTTTACTTTTATACTTTTAGTAGTTTTTGGAGCACATACTTTTTCACTTTTACTTGAGTAAAGAGGTCAAGTTGATACTTCAACTTTTACCAGAGTGATTTTAAACTGCAGGATCTATACTTCTACTGAAGTAATAAATGTGTGAACCTTTGACACCACTGGTAATCATAAACCACTGGGCCTCTGCTCCTGATTATTCTGGTCCCAGCAGGCTGCTTCCACATCCGTTTGCCTCGGTGGAGAGTTTTACACATTCAGTGAAACAAATCTAGATGAAACGTTCAGTCCTGCTGGGTTGAGTCCAGCAGGTGGCAGCAGAGCTGGATGATTTCTCATTTCCTGCTTTAAGGTGTTTTTAGCAGAATCATTTTTTTATTTTACACATGAAAAACCAGAAAATCCAAACCTGAAAATCATTTTTTCCCCATTGCTTTCTTCCCAAACAGGTCAGGCCAAAGACCCAGATCCCCGACAGTCTCCCCAACAATCCCTGCCAGGAGCTGCAGCCGCTCAGCCTGCAGAGAGTCACTGCTGTGGTCAGCCCTAAGAGCCAGGCCCCCACCCTGCCCACCGCCAACAGCACCTTCAGCTCCGACCACCAGCCAAACAGCCAGAGCAACGTCTCACCCCCCTCTGCCCCGCTGCTCGCTCCATCGGTCGGCCCCGACTTGGGCAGCCCCGCCCAGCACGCCTCTGCGGGCCCCGGCGTGGCCTACGCCATCATCGCTGCCTCCCCCACCACTGGAAACGGGGTGTCATCTGTCAGCGAGGCTGTAAAGGTATGGAAGCGTTTCATGACGGCAGCTGATGCAAATGAGACGCAGTTATCCTGAAGTATTTATGGCCTGGATCAGCGTGGAGTTTAAATATGGAAAATATAGAACGGCCTTCTGTGAGCAGCTGAACACGACAGTAACTCAAGATTTCTGGCATAATTTCATCATTTGCTTGTTTGGAAAGGATTTAGTTGCACAATTAATGTTGATCCCAGGTGGTAAACGAACTGGCAGAGGCTTTAAAGGAAAAGTCCGGTCAGCAAGGAATAACCAATCGATCATTATCTATACCTGAAACTAAGACGTTCGCGGTGATTTAATGAATTTAGCGTTTATCAGTAAAATATAAAAACAATAATTACTGTCTGGCAGCTGGATGCTGGAATACATCAGGTGTGTTCTTTGACAAACATGGATGCCTCCAGTAAAGCACATTCACATGAAAATTACTCTTAAAGGTAGGAGAACTTTTCTGACGCATTTTTTTTATCATGTGGCTTAAAGAAATAGAAGATCTAGAAGTGAAACGGAAAAAAAAAGGTCCCCGCTACTGTGAGAAATCATTGAGTAACGTCCATCGATCACAAAACACGGTCTGTGGTCCACTATTGGTTCCTGACACAATCAGGGTCGTCTGCTTCTCCCCCCTGTGCGCGTACCCTGAATCGACCCCCTAATGTTTGTGCAGGAATGAGGACTAGATGTGTAAATAATAATCGTTTTGTATCGATGCATCGATGCGTCCACAAGAGAATCGATTCATGTTTTTTTTTTTTTTTTCCTCCGGTCTATTTTTATTCATTTGCTCCTGGGCGTAATTCTCCTCCCGTGCTGCGGTGGCGCTAAACCTAATTTGTCGTCCTACCTCACTTCCTGGTTATACTCTTACAGCAGTGTGTTGCAGTGAGCTTGATGCAGACGTTTTTGATTTATGCTCAATATTGAAGCGTGGTCTGAGCTACACGCTGTGGGTCTAGATACGGCAGAGGCGGTGAGGAAGTGGGGGCGAGTTTAGTCCGACGACGGAGGGACATGAGGACCAAAAAGAGCGGAGATCCAGGTGAAAAAAGGGTCCCAGCGTTCTCTTCTAGCGGGTCAAACTTCATGAGTTGTTTTCTGCAATTTCGGTCATAAAAACAAACCAAGCCGGCCTCCTGTCTGCGGTCAGCTACAATCTGGGAGAGGAGCAGCGGAGCGTCTGTGGAGGGGGCGGAGTCTGGAGCCGAGGTATCGCATTGCATTGATTATGTAGTATTTTTTGATGCAACTTTTCTACTTCTGTTATTTGCTATTGTTTCTAAAAAAAAAAATGTATAACGATATTACAGCTTTCATTGATTTATTTTAAACTTGAAACTTTGTTTAGCCTGTAAGGTGTAAAAAAAAATAATAATAATTAATCAATTAATCGAATTGTGGTGTATTCTTGAGTATTGAAAATAATCAAATCGCCATGATGGATGTGATTTACACCCCTAACGAGGACCGGTACAAATTATGCTTCCCGTGCGTTTTTTGTTGGTTATGACAACGCGATCGACCAGCAACTACCCAGCTCGACACCTACAAAGCAAGGACATTTTAAGCCCCCTTGGTTAGCAGCCACAAGCCGCTTTCGCTGTTCACTCCTGTATCGCTACATCGCAATCAAGACCGCCTTTGACCTGGTGAAGCTAGGCACTGTTTGTGTTGTTGTTAGCTCGTTTCATGAGCGCTCTGCCTCGGCTTGTTTCCTTCTCGATCTCGGAAACATCCGAACACCTCGACAGACATCCTACGGCACCTTTTATTAAAAACACTCTTTATTTATTGAACAGCATGTAATATTTTTTATTTAAAGTACTTTTAGCAGTTCAAATTCTGAATATGACCGGACTTTTCCTTCATTGATTTATAGAGTTTGTCTGTAGAAAACGTGGGTTAAATGTTGCTTTATTCTTTGCCTTAAGGTTTGCCAATCAGGCTAAATGCCTCGTTTAATGTTGTTCCTCATGTTGTCGCTGTTTGGACCTTCATCATACTGGCATTCATTTCCTGATGGATGAAGCCATTTTGCAGTTGGGGTCACATTAATCTAACTGGATGTTTGCTGTACTGTTTTACCACAGCTTGCTGCAGCGCTTTATAACTGTTACTCATCATGTCTGTGATTAATTAAGTTCATCCCTCTGGTCTATGAAGGCCTCAGGGGTTTATAAACAGCATTACAGAGCTCTTAGCAAGCTGGTGACCCCTGAATGGATGCAAACAAGTTCTTATTTGTTCAGGTTTGTTTCCTGGTTTGATTCATAAGTGAACATTTAGAGTAAAAAGTTATTTTGCAACAAAAAAATAGCAAAAATTTCAGCCTAGACAGGTTAGAAATGTACTTCTGCAGAGAAAAGATTTTAACTTTTGACCCGAGAGGCTAAAGTCAAAGGAACTGGATTTTCTGTTATTTTCCAGAACAAAGTGATGAAGAAAAAAAGCCACGGGGTTTTGAAACGTGTTTTAATGTGAGGACTTTGTGTTTCCAGGTGATCATAATCCAGCCCCAGGCCCCCAGCAGCACTGAGGGGTCCCCAGGGGTCCAGGCTGACCTCTCCTCTCAGGAGGCTCCAACTGTAAAATCTCCTCCAAAGAAGAAGAAGGAGGACCCAGAGGTGAAGTCCAGTTTGGTTTTACAGCTGAATCTTTCCTAGAGGCGCAGAATGACTCCATTCTTCTTCATTTCTTGCAGAAAATGGCCTTCATGGTCGCCCTCGGCCTCGTCACCACGGAGCAGCTGGAAGGTGAGTTCGCCCTGAAAAGAGAGAAACTAAAATGTTCAGTGAGCTTTTTTTTATGACGCAGCGTCTGTGAACTTTGTTTGATGTGAACAGAGATCCAGACGAAGAGGCAGGAGAGGAAGAGGAGAAGCACAGCCAACCCGGCCTACAGCGGCTTCTTCGAGCCGGAGGTGAAACATTTTCCAAACGAAGCGTTTTTTATCCTGGGACCGTTCAGCTGTAACCTGACTTCCTGTTTCCTCTGCAGCGGAAACGCCTGCCCTCACATTACCTGAACAGCTCCCTCTACCTGTCGGCACGAGGTAACGCACCCTGACTCAACAAAACAGCCGCAGTTACTACTTCTAACACCAGGGGGCAGCATCTCTCCCTTTAGATTCCTAATTAATGTGATAACTGACCTGGAACCATCAGAACACTGCATGTAGAACAGGTTCTGCTCATTTAAGAGCATCTCCACTGCTGTAGGAGCAGAGATGCATATAAAACAAAGAGAACCAGAACAGAAGGTCATATTTAACTCCGCTGATCCAGACTGCAGAGTTTATCTGTAATGTTAAATAACCAGATTTCTTGCATGCTGGGTTAACCGTTGATCTCTTGCATTACTAACCAGAAACATTGAATACATCAAGCCTGATCTACAAAAACAGTAGAAAGCGTCCAGAGAACCATAATGCACTGCAGCAGGTTGACCGCTGATGGGACTTAGTCCTTTATTTCAGTTTTTACTGAAGTCTAAAGGCATCAGTAGCCTTCTTTAAGCGTTGCTTCTGCAGCTTTTCCTTCCCAGAGTTAACCTTAACCCTCCTCTAACGTTCACTAACCACTGCTCTGCTCCATCCACATGCTAACCTCAGAGGATTTCTGCTGGAAGGTAGGTCACATGACGACTGATGTCACGGCTCAGAGGTGTCCAGCAGCTAGACTGACGTCTGCTGCGTCTCTTTTCAGGAGGAGCTGGAGCATGAAGACCACTGCGCCGTCTGTAAGGAGGACGGAGAGCTGCAGGTCTGCCACAACTGCCCCCGAGCCTTCCACCCCAGCTGCCTCCACCCGCCCATCAAAAGCCCCCACAAAGGCCCCTGGTACTGCCCCAAGTGCCAGAAGAAGGTGAGTCTGAGACGCCGTTAGGTCTTTGCAGCTCAGAGGCGATGCAAAAAAATTGAGCTGTAATTTGTGCTTTTCAGGTCCTGAACAAGGAGAACCTGTCGTGGCCTCAGAGCTTCGTTCAGTCCTACGTTACACACAAGACAGGTGAGACGCCGAAGCTCGGGTCCTCGGCGCGCAGCTGTGGCGTTGCCTCTGCTGACCGAGCGTGTTTGTGTTGCAGTGAGGCAGGAGGAGAAGCGGCGGCTGCTGAGACGGAACACCGAGCTGAAGAAGGAGTGCGCTCATCTGGAGGAGCAGGACGAGAAGCTCAACAAGACGCTCAAAGTGAGAAAACACACAAACCTGCCACATGGTTAGCATGTGAACGGAGCGGCACACCCCGCGCTCCCCGCTAAGGAGGATGTTTCTCTTCCATCCAGGAAGCTTTTTCAATTCAAAATGTCAGAAATAGCGTCGAGTTCCAGGTTTTTGTTTTGAAAACATGCAGATTGGAACAGGCGAAGGGGGATCGTTTGTTAGCCTGCAATGCCCCATACCTAAGTCTCTGAAAGGTTGGTCGTTAGAGGGAATTGTCGGATGAGGTCCTTCACTCTCCTGGGCTGGGGCTCCGATGATAACGGGAAGGAATCAACTCAATAACAGCATTGTAAGTTTTTGGAAGCTGGAATCTGAATCCATCATCTCTGTTTTTCTTCCTTGACGATCCTCTCAAACCACCTGCCTTGTTTGTCCAAAATGTGAACATTCTGGTCCTCAAAGGAATGTCCTTTGTCCAGAGGAGGGCGCTCTTCTGTGTTGGGTCTGTGGAGAGGTTGTTTGGTTTCTCTAACATAAAGATCAGAGCATTCCTCTCTGCACTGAACTGCAGACACTTCGCTCATATTTGGTCTGGAGGTTTTGTCCTTAGGATGCACTAGCACCTGTCAAAAGGTTCTTCGAGAGACTCCAGCAACATATGGGATGGAGATGTTTTTGCAAAAACATCTCCATCCCATATGTTGCTGGAGTCTCTCCAGGATTTTCTTCAAACACAAAATCCCAGACCCTTAAACAGAGACTAGTGCATCCTAAGGACCAAACCCCCAAACCAAACAACCTCTCCACAGGCCCAACACAGCAGAGCGCACAATGCTGCTTATTGGAAAAAAATCAAACATGGTCAAAACCATGTTTACTTGCTCAACTCATCATCGCAGCACCACCCCCTGCACAGGAGAGTAAAGGACATTGTCTTTTCAGCCAGTCCAACAATTCCCTTTAATGACCAACCTTTCAGACACTTAGACAGGTGTGGAGCATTGGAGTCTAACCAAAGAAGCCAAACAACTCGACCCCTTCATCTGTTCAAATCTGCATGTTTTCAAAACAAAAACTCATCACTGTTCCTGACATTTTGAATTGTGAAAGCTTCCTGGAAGGAAAGAGAAACACAGTTTTTTCTTACATTTCCCCTGTTATTCCATCATGTTCTACTCACCCAGATGAGTTTAGTGTCATTTGGAGCCGTTCTGAAGATATTCCGTTAGGTTATATCCAGTAACGTCTTCCTATGGGCAACGACTTGAAGGCACAAACTAAACTGTTCATCATTTATTCTTTATGGTACGCCAGCATTCAGAACATGGAGGCCAATCACTGTCCCCCCCAGACATCCGCCTTTATATCTTTTAAAAACAAAGCGTGGCGTGTATGACATCATCCATGCGCCAGACTGGAGTAGTGACGGGCAGCCTGGGCCACAGGCGGCTAATCTCCACCCATTCAATTCCATTTGGAGAGCGAGATCATCTGTGGTAGCAGCAGTTCAGCGGACAGGATGATGTCATACACACTCCGCTTTGCTTTTAAAAAAAATAACCTTGGATGTCTGTGGGACAGTGATTGGCCTCCATGTTCTGAAAGCTGGCGTTCCATAAAGAATAAATGATGAACAGTTTAGTTTGTGCCTTCAAGTCGTTGCCCATAGGAAGACGTTACTGGATATAACCTAACGGAATATCTTCAGAACGGCTCCAAATGACACTAAACTCATATGGGAGAGTAGAACATGATGGAATAACGGAAAATCAAGGGACCAATGGAAAAAAAGTGTTCCCCTTTAAGCTCCAAATTCAATAAGAGTTTGTGTTGATTTGGACTTTAAATTACCTTAGTGCATTAATAACAGTGGGAATGTTTACCTTATTAAGTAAATCAACAGACCCCACAGCATTTCACAATAAAAGCAAAGGTGAAACTTAACATCACTGACTGCTGCTGAGTTATTCTCTATGAAAAACTTTGGAATCGCCTTGACTCTGCATTTGATGATGCGGTCCAGGGTGTAAACTATGGGAGCAATACTGTTGCAAATGTGTAGATCAGCCTGTAAACACACAGTCACTTTCGTCTGAAGTATTTTTGCTTCAACACCCAGAAATGCAAATAGTTGGTTAGAGGTCGAGCAGTTTCTTTGTTGACTCTCTTTACACATGCGACTTTTGCTACGCTTCTGCCGTGTGAGATCTGCGCATGTGTAATATCTTGACTTGCTGAGCGCAGACCGTTTATCATATAATCAGCTTTTCTGATCATAACTACTTCTAAGATATCAAAGAAAAAGTTTTGACTATCCTGAAACTAAATTATGACTAGTAGAAATAACAATGCCTTTAGAGATATCTCAAATTGAATCGTTATTTCTACCAGTCATAGTTTAGGCAGAAAAGCTGATTATATGATAAACGGTCTGCCGTAAGCCTTCGCAGCAAATCAAGATATTACACATGCTAATCCTTTCTACACGTTTGCAGATCTCAGATGGCAGAAGTGTAGCAAAAATCACGTGTAAAGAGAGTCAACCAAGAAACTGCTCGACCTCTAACCAATGATTTGTCTGCATTTCTGGGTGTTGAAGCAAAAATACTTCAGACTTAAGTGACTCTGTGTTTGCAGATAATATTGCTCCCATAGTAAACACTGTGCATCTGAAAAGGAAGGTCGGTGAACTAAACTGCGGAAGTGAACGTGATATTAGGAAGGAGTGCTCTGATTGGATGATGGTTTAATGAAACGCTTCAGCTCAAACTTCCTGTTTCTCCGCAGGTCTGCATGGATCAGAGGGATCGGCTCCTCGGGCTGCAGAGGGACACTCAGGCGTCGCTCGACCGTCTAAAAACGCTCATCAGGCTCATCCAGCGAGACCAGGTGACCATGACAACCGTCGCCAAGCTACCCCAGCTGTGGATGAAACCCACCAGCACCGCGCCGCTTCAGCCGAGCCAAGACGACGTCACCAACTAGATCCACCATCTGAAGCGTTTTTCAAACCCAACACCTACAGTGCTTACGAGATTTTTTTTAAGTTATTTTCTATTTATTACGAACCGCTAGAATCCAGCGTCCGACGTTCCCTAAACCTGCGCGGTCAGGTTAGCGGAGCGGCTGTATGGGATTTATCAAAGTAGACGTTCGTTTTCATCAAAGTTCCTGCCATACGACTTCAGGAAGATGTTTCCACGCGTTAACGCAGACGAGCCTTCAAACAAAACAGAGAACTACGATTTTCTCAGTATTTATAGAGTAAAAGTCAAAGAAAAAAAGTATTTAAGATTAAGCTACAGAAATTAGCTTTTTAGTGCAGATTTTAGTATTTTCATGCTGATGCCTGTTGATAAATGTAAGTTTGGAGTATTGGAGGGGATCACTGTACATACGTGCTTTCATCATCACATCTGAAGTGGACGAGTTTAACTTTAAGATGCAGAAACAAAGCAGTCCAGATTAAAAATAAAGGTGTCAAACACTACGGCAGAAGTGCAAGTTGAACAAATCTGTGTCGCATTATCCAGACTAATTGGTTTTCTTTTGTCTAAAATATTTCTGATTGAAGTCGTAGGGAAGCATCTTGCTAACCAGTTAGCATCTTAGTGCTAGCAGGTTCCCAATGGGAAATTCCATTGGGACCAAGTAGCACTAAGGACAGAGGAAACATGCAAGAGGAGGAGAGTTTAGTGTCGGAGGTCGTGGATGAGTCTCCTCCGTCATCCATTTTTTATTTAGAGGAGGAAAGCGGGGACGAAGATGTTGTGGAAGAGGACGCCAGGGCGGCAGAAGCTTGGTTTGGTGTAGAAGGCTTCCAGCCGTACATGTTTGAGCCCTTGCCTCGCAACGCTGCCAGTTCTGTTAGCTCTACGCCTGCCGAAGACACAGACGTCCATCCCCGTGAACACTGGGAAAGGAAAGGATTCTGATTTCAACCGTTGCGTATATTAGCTGCGACACATGACCGCTGAATTTAGGTGTTCAGGCTGAACTGGCCTGAAGAAGATAATGGAAAAACACAGATTTTCAGACAGGATTGTTTTAAAAATAGACATTATTGTCTGATAAACCGCACATTTATGTGCATGTTTAGGCCAGAATGACTTCCCTACGACTTTAAATTAAGTTTTTGTGGTGAGGAAAAAAAAAGAAGCTAAACCCTTTTCCTCACCTTCAGGTTTTATAGTTGTCCAACCAGAAGAATCAATAAATAACATTTCATACCCTGATGTTATAACATACAGGGAAAATTGACATCTATGGATTATAGGTTTATCAAAATTGCTCCTGCAGGTGTCAGAGACGAAAATCAGCTCGGATAAAGAAAATTTGATGGTTTGGAGCGGACCAATTGAAGTCTGGACTTAAATGCTGAAGTTTAATCTTACAAAGTCAATTAAACGCTACAAATAGAAAACCCCTTTAAACCGTTTCTGGGGAGCTGCAGGGACCATAAAAAGACTAAACGCTTCAGCAGCGTTTGCTGAAACATTTGCTTGTTTCTGCATCTTTAAGAAATAAAAAGTCAAATCTTGTTCCAGTCGACATGTGATGCATCCATTTAGCCCCTCCCACTTTAACCAGTATGGAAAATATGCCAAAAACGTCCTTTTTTTTGGTGTCTTACATTTTCTGTGTATTCTGAGCGACGGATGAACACTGCCTCACATCGTTTCAGGGTTTCTGTCTTTGTTGCGTCGGTTCATATTTTTTATATATATTTAAAGAGGAAAGCAGGACGTCTCCGTCGAGCTGCAACAACAGTCGCGAGTCTTCCTGCCAGTCTGGAGACGTCCCGCCTCATCGCTGCCGTTTACTTTGTTGTTGTTTTTTTATTTGTGGTACTGTACTCACCCATCAGTCGAGGTGCGGCGCTCTGATGCACAAACATGAAAAAAAAAAAACGCCTTTTATTAGAATCATATCCGACTCACCTGTTTGGTCTCTGAAGGATCGACGCTGCAGGATCTGTTCAGAGAAACAGGTCAGTCCAATGAAAATACAACGGAGGCTTTTATTCTGAAAGTCCCAGTTAAAAGACTTAAATCTAAAATCATTTAGGATGCAGAGGTTTTACAGCTGCTATCATGGATAAATTTCCCCTCATCTAATTGGTTAACAGCTCCTAACATGTTTGGATCAATCAAAAGTTTCTGCGTTTCAAAGCCTCCGTGACTTAAATCGAGTCACTTTGGTCTTTATGAACAAATAAAAGAAGGAAATCAATATTTAATCAGATCAGATTACCTTTTATTCCTCCCAGCGAAGCTCCTTCAGAGTCCAACCTGCCTTCATGAGAATAAAATTATCTGTCACAATAAGAGGGCTTTTATTTTGAAATGTGCCATGTGATGCATATCAAGTCCTCACCGTAGAAACCATATCAGTTCTTTTTGACGCATCGACGTTTCACACATTTAAAAAAAGAATAACAGAGGAGAGAAACCCACCTTCCTCCTCCTCCATCATCCGTTTCTAGGAATCTTCTCCGGGAGAAACTGTGCAGTGCTTAAACAGATCTATTTTACTACACAACACAACATTTGAACAAAAAAGAGAAAGAAAAAAAAAACATTTTTATATTCTTTTATCGGAGCCAAGAGAAACCAGAACAGTTTGTGTAGATGGAGGTGAAGTAGACGTTTCTGTCCGTCGGTGGAAACCAGGAACCGTCCAGTGGATAGTGTGTATAGGAAAGTGTTTGTCTTAAATATGCCAACGTAGTTTTTCCTTCTTTCTGATGCATTAAATCGCTGATTAATGGAAGGATGGATGGTTGAAGAGTAGTCTCACCTTTTGTACCAAGTTCTTATAAAAACATGGAATCATTAATAAACTAAATTCAAGAACAAAAAGCTCTGCTTGTGAATTTTCTTCCAGTTTAATTCCTCTCCTGCTTGAACTATTTCAGATTTAGAGTTGGACTGGAAATTAAAAGTATAACATTTTATTTATTCATGCATCTTTTTAAAATCAAACAAATGTAAAGTTGAATAATAATAAAAAACAAAGCAAATAAGCGTGTCTAGTTTCTTAAAACTGAATTAAAGTCAATAAAACCAGGAAAATAATTAGTAAAAATTATAATTTGGGGTTAAAAATGTTTACGTTTAATTCTCAACATTGTTTTTCTTCGGTTTGACTCAAAGAATTTTATCAGAAACCTTTAAGACTAAAATAAAACAAGGAGTTTTATATTTGATATTTGGGTTTTAAACCCAGAAAAGATGATTGATATTCATTGGATTTTTACATTGTGACGCAATTTATTTCACTTACAAACAACATGTACAGAAAGTTTTAATTATTATCTCTAGAGTTTGGGTTTTATTTATTTAAACACATTAAATATTTTCAATGAAAAAGAAAAAACCGATTCCTGCATAAAAATATAAATCTCAAAGGTAGTTTTTTAGTGTTCTGATAATAAAGATGTGTAACAGATCTCCGAAGCGTTCCTCCTGGATCACGGGGTTACCTGAGCAGGTGGGCAGCGGGAGCCGAACACGGTGCCGAAGTGTTCGATGAGGATCTCGGTGAAGACGTTGATGGGCGTCAGGGCGCTCAGGGAGATGGAGGCGTGGCGAGGCCAGACCAGATTCACGCCGAAGACGCACGCCAGGTTGGAGGCGCTCATCTTGTTGATGATGCTCTCCTGAGAAACCTGAAGGAACCCAAACACCGTTAAGCTCATAACCATTCAGCTTCATCAGACAAAAGTTTATTAATACTTGGATTTTTAAATGCATTGGCTTAAAAACATAATCTAGACATAGAACAAAGCAACATAAATACCCAAACCTTTAAATTTTAATAACCCTGGTTAGATAAACATTATAAAATCCAGCAGTTTAAATATTCATGATCAGTTTCAGCTCTTAAAAAGCTTTTTAAAATCTTATATCTTTATTAAATTAGACCAGAATGTTGAAAAAATCTCGACTTTTATAGCTTGGAATACATTTATAAATATATTTAAAACTGATCAAATGTAATTGAATATAAAGTTTCTGAGAGGAAGAGGATTAAAAAATTAAGGTTCAAATTATTGGTAAAAAACATAAAAGAAACATTAAATGATACAATATAAAAATAAAATATTTATAGAAAACACATGATACATAGGCTTAAAGTTAACTAAACTGATAAAATTGAATGTATTCTGTTGACTACCTTTAATTTTCTACAATATCTGCGGTTTAGTTTCCTTTAATCATCGATATGCCTTTTTTCTAATATCTGTGTGATCTCTCAGAACGACATTAACTCAGAAAACAATTTGTACGAATTAGCTGAAAGTTGATGCCATAAATGTTCTGATCTTATCTGAATCCATCAGCCTGCATATAAAAATCTACAGTTTATGTACCTTCGATTAATAATAATAATAATGGCAGATTTTCTTATAGTTTATTACGGTTCTCTCTGACAATCATTTGGATTATCCGTATCAGAGCATCTCTGGTTGATGCTGAAGCTGACCTTTCAGTAACAGGTTTTCAGTCAGTCAGACTCACCATGTGCAGAAAACAGACGAGGAACTTCAGCACGATGAAGTTGTGCTCAGGAAGGCTTTCCACCAGCTGTTTGCATCTGGACGCCCGCAGGCTGCTCTCCACATCTGGAAGGTTCATTCAGAGTCACTGAAATGCCGCCGGCTGAGAGCCTGAATCGGTCTGAGGAGCTTTACTCACTGAGGAGCTCCTGGACCTGGCCGTAGACTCTGTAGGTGAGGAGCGGCTCTGGAAGCTCTCTGAGGAACGTCTTCAGGATAACAGCGGGAACATGGACGTCCTGGTAATGGTCAAAGTTCACCGGCTTCCCTGAACAAAGATTTATATCAAACAAGAAATATGAACTGGTCTGCAACACAGACGCAGAACAGATTCCACCGTGTCTTTAACGCAGAACCAAAGCAACACGATTTAAAATACTAAATAACTTAAGATATTGGAGCGTTCCTACAACCCACAGGTTCATTTACAGATTATTGCCAAAAAGTAAAGAGTTTAGGAAAGTAACCTGTATGATCCAGTGAAGTGACTTCTGCTGGATCATAGAATGCAAAACCTAGTTTCCATGGTAACAGATGAATAACGATAGTTCAGGGGGTGAAATGGACGTACAGAGAAGTTCAAACTCCATCAACGCCTCCTTTCTCTGCAAATCTCACTATTCTAAACTTCCGCCATAAAATGGCGGAATGCAAACAAAGCAACGAGTTGACCTCAACTCTGGGATGTTGCCTTATTTGGTTCTGGCCTGGACTTTAGTCACGCTCCAAAATTAGGATACAGACCAACTAAGCGGTTATTTAAAGTGAGTGAGAGCGTGCAGGGATTACAATAATTCTTGCACAACGTGTGGATTAGATTAGAGGTTTGCACTCTAGTCGACCAAAATCCCGCACGATTTTGAAATTCCCCCTGGACATTTTTTTTAGGTCTGAAAAGTAGGACATGTCTGGGAAAAAGAGAACATCTGGTCCCCCTACCATATCAACAATCTGATGTTTCAGTGAGTGAGTGCTTGTTGCTATGATGAGTCTTTGCTCAGCAGCTTGGCTCGTTGTAAACCAACCAATCAGAGCACAGCTCATCTAAATATTCATGATCAAACCATAAAAGGAAGAAAACCTGTGGTTTCATTCTAGGGCTTTTAACCAGGCTGCATTAGGGCTCATAGAACAGCTAATATTCAGCCCAACCAATGTTACACACCCTATTAGAGACCTGAAGGACCAGATACCCTATAGAATCATTCTATCACCCTATTAGAGACCTGAAGGACCAGATACCCTATAGAATCATTCTATCACCCTATTAGAGACCTGAAGGACCAGATACCCTATAGAATCATTCTATCACCCTATTAGAGACCTGAAGGACCAGATACCCTATAGAATCATTCTATCACCCTATTAGAGACCTGAAGGACCAGATACCCTATAGAATCATTCTATCACCCTATTAGAGACCTGAAGGACCAGATACCCTATAGAATCATTCTATCGCCCTATTAGAGACCTGAAGGACCAGATACCCTATAGAATCATTCTATCGCCCTATTAGAGACCTGAAGGACCAGATACCCTATAGAATCATTCTATCACCCTATTAGAGACCTGAAGGACCAGATACCCTATAGAATCATTCTATCGCCCTATTAGAGACCTGAAGGACCAGATACCCTATAGAATCATTCTATCGCCCTATTAGAGACCTGAAGGACCAGATACCCTATAGAATCATTCTATCACCCTATTAGAGACCTGAAGGACCAGATACCCTATAGAACCATTCTATCGCCCTATTAGAGACCTGAAGGACCAGATACCCTATAGAATCATTCTATCACCCTATTAGAGACCTGAAGGACCAGATACCCTATAGAATCATTCTATCGCCCTATTAGAGACCTGAAGGACCAGATACCCTATAGAATCATTCTATCACCCTATTAGAGACCTGAAGGACCAGATACCCTATAGAACCATTCTATCGCCCTATTAGAGACCTGAAGGACCAGATACCCTATAGAACCATTCTATCACCCTATTAGAGACCTGAAGGACCAGATACCCTATAGAACCATTCTATCGCCCTATTAGAGACCTGAAGGACCAGATACCCGATAGAATCATTCTATCACCCTATTAGAGACCTGAAGGACCAGATACCCTATAGAATCATTCTATCACCCTATTAGAGACCTGAAGGGCCAGATACCCTATAGAACCCTTCTATCACCCTATTAGAGACCTGAAGGACCAGATACCCTATAGAATCATTCTATCACCCTATTAGAGACCTGAAGGACCAGATACCCTATAGAATCATTCTATCGCCCTATTAGAGACCTGAAGGACCAGATACCCTATAGAATCATTCTATCACCCTATTAGAGACCTGAAGGACCAGATACCCTATAGAACCCTTCTATCACCCTATTAGAGACCTGAAGGACCAGATACCCTATAGAACCCTTCTATCACCCTATTAGAGACCTGAAGGACCAGATACCCTATAGAATCATTCTATCACCCTATTAGAGACCTGAAGGACCAGATACCCTATAGAACCATTCTATCGCCCTATTAGAGACCTGAAGGACCAGATACCCTATAGAATCATTCTATCGCCCTATTAGAGACCTTAAGGACCAGATACCCGATAGAATCATTCTATCGCCCTATTAGAGACCTGAAGGACCAGATACCCGATAGAATCATTCTATCGCCCTATTCAGAGACCTGAAGGACCAGACACCCTATAGAATCATTCTATCACCCTATTAGAGACCTGAAGGACCAGATACCCTATAGAATCATTCTATCACCCTATTAGAGACCTGAAGGACCAGATACCCTATAGAAT